GTACGTTTTTATTTTGCATATAGTGTTTCGAAGGGTCTTATTCCCTCCATTTCTCTGGTCAGTTAGGGCATTGAAGAGCTTAAGTCAGTGCACCAAAGAGAAGCGAGCTCTTCATGCCCCGTGGAGAGGGGTGGGGCAATTCCACCTGCCTCAGGGTGGGCTGTGATGAGGTGTCTTGGAAAGTGTGCCCACACACATGGCATTGCCCTCTCTTGACCTGAATGGCCGAGCACTGGCACAAATTTACCACACCAAGGAAACCCACTAACTGCTCTGTGTTTGTTTCCAGGTGACCTCATACATTTGCCTCCATACCTTAGAATGGACTTTTTGTTAAACCGAGGTGGTCCGGGCACCAGCAGGGACCTGAATTTAGGACAAGCATGCTTGGAACCTCAGAAAAGTCGGACCCTGAAACGCCCCACGGTCCTCGAACCCATCCCGATGGAGGCCTCCTCCTCCACCTCATCCACGAGGGAAGGACAGTCGTGGCAGCCAGGGGCCGTGGCCACATTACCTCAACGAGAAGGGGCAGAGCTGGGACAGGCAGCTAAAATGAGCAGCTCCCAAGAATCCCTGCTTGACTCTCGGGGCCATTTGAAAGGAAACAACCCCTATGCCAAATCCTACACCCTGGTATAACAAACAGTGTGACTGGACAGTCGTTGTAAATACAATTTAAACAATTCAATCAAAGCTACCTTTTTTTTACAGAATTCCAATATTTATAATTAAAGAAAATTGCCAAAATATATTAAAAAAAAAAAAAAAGAAAAGAGAAACTACTGAAACCACAGACAGTGCAAAGACTCTCCTGCTTTTTTTCTGTCTGAGTGTGAGCTCCATCCGCCTGGGCATCTGATTTTTTGGGAAAGAAGTCCAGTTTTATGATCTTCACAGGCTATTGCATTTTTACTGATTTTCTACAAAGTGCATGGGGGACTAATTAAATCTTCTGACTAGAAGTTCTATCACACAAGAGTCAAGAAAGAAAACGGGGAAAAATTAGCCTATTTGTGAATTTAAAAGGAACACTGAATTGGGGGCAGGGGAAGACTTTAGTCATGTCTGCACACCTTTCGTTCCCATTAGAAGTTGGGTCCACAATTTGATCTTCTTTTGTTGTTAATTAGGATGAGTGCCGTCAGTGAGGGGGTGGGGGGATCAATTCGGTTTTCTTTTTTGTTTATTTTTTAATTTAATGAGACACTCTTTGCATTTTGTCTAAGCGAAATAAAAAAGAAAAGGTCGTCTGCCTTTATTTCAATGTCTACTTCTCTTGTCTCTGACTGATGGCTTGGTCCTCCCTCCTCCTGATGCTTGTGTTTGCCAACACCAGGACTGGACTCAGAACCCAGTTTAATAAACCAGAGAAGATACTAACACTGTGAACTCCTCAGGTGTAGCTGGGAAAAGCAGGCGAGGCGCAGCTCCCGCTCTCAGGCTGGTGTTCTGAGACCCTGCAAGGCTCTGCTCCTGCCCACGGCAACTAGCCCTCTAGGTAGATCAGGGATCAGCAGACTATGGCCCGCAGGCTGAATCTAGCCCACTATTGTTTGGGTAAATAAAGTTTTACTGGAACCACATGCACTATTTGCTATTTTCTATGACTACTTCCAT